AAAAGAACAAGAAAAGCCCCCCAAAAAACAGAAAAAAAAAAAAAACCCCATGAAGAAAGAAATGCCCTCAGGGATCCCTCTGCGCAAGCCAAGGGGGTAGGTTCCAAGCCACGCAGCACCGCCTGGCCAGAACGGGCTCGCAACTCATGAAAAGGAAAAAAAACAAACAAACAATTCAAAACAAACAAACAAAAGCACTGGGATCCCACCAGCGTGGCAGCCCAGACCGGGAAGCAGTTCCACCCTTGAACGGAGCTCTGCAGTCCCTCAGGAAGAAGCAAAGATGGCGCATGGAGCCTGGTATTTGAGCGAAAGGAGGGGGAGGTGGTGAGAGATAAGGAAGAAATCAAAAGAAGCGGGAAAAAAAAGCAACACCAGCAGCCAACAAATGGCACTCAGAGAGCTAGCTAGTGTGGGTGGGTGGAATCCAAGCAGCCGGTGCTTCCCGGACAAGAGACTGTGGCCGCGGGAAGCAGAGGAGGCTGAGTGGGGGTGAAGAAGGGTGGGGGGTGGGAAAGCGTATATCGCAAATTACCAGTTGTTTTGTCTCCTGCTGGACGCCCCCTGAGGCTGCTTTCTCGTACCCCCTGTTTGCTAGTCTCTGATAGGAGTCCAAGATGGTGGATCTGCGCTGTGTTAACTGATAGAGGACCTCTGCATGAATCTCTCCTTGCTCTCTGTTCTCTGTCAGTTTTCTCACTCCATTTGGTTCTTGGCTGAGTTCTTTATCTCTTCATTTGATGTTTTAGGGTTTCAGGATTGCTGTTTTCTGTTTGGCTTAGTTTTTTGGATCTTTGCTGTGGAGGGACGGTGTGGTGCTTCCGCCTAGAGCGCCATTTTGCCAGAAGTCATAAAGTTCACTTTGATATGTTTGAGTCTCACCTCTGCAGTATTTATGCTTCCTGGAAAATAGAAATATAATTTCATAAGCCAGAAAGAATTAAGGATGGTACATATGAATTGTATTTTTTTCTGCATTATGTAATTGGATGATGGGAAGAAGACTAGTTTATTTCTTAGATTAGGTTTTAACTTGAAATGTTTTTCATATCCCTTATTGTTTCTTATCAGTTTTTTAAGAATACACTCATATTTGTGTTTATATAAAGATTCATGGAGAAATTAATTTTATCAGGGTACTGAAGAACAGAAAAGACTTCATGGTTCCATGGTTCAGAAAGTCCAACAGATACTCCTTTATTATTCTTGGGTTACACTGAAGTAATAAAATATATCTGCTGTAGATAAGAAAAGCTGAGTAGTTTACAAGGTTTGAATTTCTATACACAGTAAGTAGAGGGGTTTTCTTTCTTTTACACTTTCTCAGATGAGTAGGACTTTTTGTTGGCTTTTGGCAGGGTTTAATATCTTGCTGGGTGATAGAGGACATTTTTTAAGTCAACAAATATTTTTGGTGTAAATAATGGTCACCCATAATTTCAACAGAGGTTCTTGATGATTTTGTGTCATATGGTCATTCGGCAATATGATGAAAGTCATCTAACATTTCTTCAAAAAGCATTTTGTATAAAACTTTGCATAAAAGTTCAGAGGATTTTTAGACCCTCTGAAACTGGATCTGTGCTCTAGGAGATACAAATGAAGTAGAAGAAATGTGTCTGTTGTCAAGGAGCTGAAAGGATAGACGTAGACTCAAGACATAGATGTCTGAAATAACTGGGGTACCTATTTCAAGTAAGAATGATTAAATACAAGGCTTGAATTGTAGAGTAAGTGCTGTAAACATCCAAGAAGGGATACTCACTAGGGACTAATACAGAGAAGGATTTGGTAGGAAAGATGGAATTTAGCTAAGATGCTGTATGGATGTTTCCTACTCTCAGAGTTGTAGAGGTTACAGTGTGACAGGGAAGAGGATGAATAGTAATGATAGAATATAAGGGGGAAAAGAAGAACATGGTGTGTGTGTAAGGAGTAAGAATTAGAGTGTTCACATTGGAGAGATGAATGTGGATGGACAGATCTTTAAGGAGAAGTGGAAATAAGGAAAAAAATATAGCATAAATTTTGTGCTAGATATTTAAATTGAGTAACTTTTCAGTCAGTAAGGAAACTGGCAACCATGTATTTTTAGCTCTACCAGTATAACATCTGGGGTATTCTATTTATCATGTCATTAGGAGAGTTTCTTCATCTTCAAACTGATATGACAGTACAAATGTACTTTATAGTCAAACTTCGTAGTTAACAAACAGAAAATTCCACCCCAATAATATAAAAAAGGACTGAGAGTAAATAGATATCAAGTGTCAGGCTTTGTATATGAGGAGAATGAGAACAAATATCTGTAGTTTCCCTAGATACATCTTATTTAGTCTAACAGTTAGGATTTTAGTAATTATCATTATTAAGATACTCTTTGGTGTATCGGCTATACTATCCCATTAAAATATAATTCTTTATTAAAATGACAATGTGTATAATAACTACTGCTTTATTTTTTGTTTTTGTTATTAAACAATGATTTATTATGTCTCACCACTCTAGGTTAACTGGGTGATCCTTCTGCTACAAATGGTGTTGGCTGTCATTCATGTAGCTGTTTTCAGATGGTGTCTGGGAAGGGCTGGAAGGTCCAAGATGTTTTTTCACACAAGTCTGGGGTTTTGGTGCTGACTGTTGGCTGGGGCACCTCAAATCTGCCTCTTTTTCCATGTGGTATTTCATCTTCCAGGGCCTTTCTTTAATGGCTTCTCTTTCAAGTAGGATAGTTTGAATTTTGTTACGCTGTTGTGACTGGGTTCCAAGAGAGTGAAAATGGAAGCTACCAGGGCCAGAGCTTGCCCAGTGTCACTTTTTGCTGCAGCTGTCAGTCAAAGCTAGCCACAAGGCCCAGATTTAAGGAGAGGAGAATTAGAGTCCATTTCTTGATGGGAGGAGAGATGTGTGTACAGGAAGGGGAGGAGTTTTGGTGGCCATCTTTGGAGACTATCACAGTGGACATTAAAAATTATTCTTTAGAAAAATATTTTATGGCATATTAAGTGAAAAAAATGAACTAGTT